TGCGCATTCCATTTCCATTAGAAACTTCTTAAAAAAAAACCTGCCTCACCCTTGTGTGCCAGGACTGACTCAAAAGCCTTATCTGCAGCAGAGCCTCCTAGGAAAAGAAAGAACAATGTTGGAACAGCACAGAACTGAGTCAAGGCTGAGTAAAATAATAATAATTAAAAAAACAGAACCTTGCTTTCCATGACAAATCAAAGGAGCAGCTTTGCCACACTCCCTTGACACGTGAAGCACTTTCAAAAGGGGCAGTTCCATCGATACAGTGCTTGGATCAGGCGATACAAAGAGAAGCTTGTAAAATCCAGCCAAAAAAAAGGGGGGGGGGAGCTGCATTGGCTGTATGAAAAAATCCCAGCATCCATATGGTGTGTGGCTCTTAAAATCAAATTTTAATGCCCAGTGCTCCAATTAATATCCTATAGCCTAAGGAGGCAAAAAACCTAGTTCTGCATGAAAAGGAAGAATTTTGAAAGAGCTTTCCTAGTATTAGCACGCTCACCTTATGAATATGCTCCTGTCTGCCAGGTTTCCCACAGGTCAATGACTGGGACACGCCAGCAAGAGCATGTGCTTAAGGACTGGAATCCCAGGCAATTGTATTATTTGTTTGTTTAATTAATAAAATAAATATTCTATAAATGCATGAGTGGCTGTCAAGCTTAGTCTCTTGGAGAGATGTACGTAATAAAAGAGAAAGAGCAAAATCAATAAAACCAATAGCTCCAAACATGAAATCACATTAAAATGCAGGAACAAAAGCACAATTATCATTTTTTCAACACCACTGAAACAGCAAGGCAGAAAATGCAGAAAGAAGTGTCTAAAACAATAACAGAGGTGAAACAACTCAAAACACAACTTCAGAGCGTAAGATATAAAATGCTGGAACAAATAAAATGAGCTGGGGGGGGGGTGTCTCCAAAAGATCAACAAGGAAGCTGTCATGACACCTGTCTTCTTGTCAAGATTAGGTACATCTAAGGAAGCTCCATTTCATTCTCCAAACCTCCTGTGTGCATTATCACTCCTTGTTCTAAAGTCTTTGTACACAAGGCACTGATGTTTTCTCACTTACAGTGGTTTGCTCAGGCTTTGCACAGCCCCCTCCTCTGGGGTCCACCTCATGCTTTGCAGCTATCATAAAGTCCACACCCCCGCCTCCACCCCCGCCCCGTACATGCATACACAAGGAAAGTCTGGAAGTATCTGTGGATGGCAGGATGAAACTCCTGGATATTGGGACACTTCTGCAAAACTGCAGCACCACTTAGTACATGTGTGATGGGATATTTAGAAAGCCAGAGCAAAACAAAAACAGGAAAAATGTGCCTAAAGGAGGCAATCATAATCTGGAACCTGGTGACAGAAGCCTTGGTAAAGTGCCAGGTTAAAAGTTTCAGAGAGGGTTTCTCCATCTACACAGGGCATAGACATAGAAACAGAGCGAGTCAGAAGGGGCCTCCGGGGCCATCTAGCCTGATCCCCAGCTCCAGCCAGCTCCGCTCACAACATGCCCACCATGTGCATGTCCAGCCTATCCTTAAACATCTTCACCGATGGGGCTTCAACCACCTCCAATTAGGGGTCGTAACAGTCAGGAAGTACGTGCTGGCATCCACCTTGCATCTTGGTTCTCTGAGATTTGCTCCATCAGAACGTGTCCTGCCCTAATCCACAGGGGAAAAGGAGTCACGACCCACGCCCACATGTATTGTCCTTTGTGATTCCTCATGCGGTGGTTTGTGAGTGCTTTATGCAATGACATCATCTTCCAGGCCGTCTCCCATACTTTGCAACCATTTCCACAGACATCTACTCATCTTTTACTTTACTTTTGAAGCTCTGGGAAGGTCAAGCTGAGCCGGAGGTGGCAGCAGTGTACTGACTAATTGCCTTGCAGCTGCACTTCAGGAAGCCTGGGTATGCCCATTCCCTTCACTGAAATCACCAGGCAAACCTCTCTCATTTGCATTCCACCTTTCTGCTGAAGATCTCAAAGCAGAATAAACCTCACGACAACCTTATGAGCCAGGTAAGGCTGAGAGATAACGACTACCCTCTGAGGTCACCCACTGAGCCATACAATGCTTCTCATTCCCACCTGCCATGAAACCCCTAAATGCTACACTGTCCCACCACCAGTGCCAAAGTAAGATGCCCAGCCCAGCCAGCCAGCCCTGGTCTGCGGAATGGGCCGCACCAACTTCTCTGCCTCAGACAACGTAATGCCTTGGATGGGCCTTGGCTACTGTGTGTGTGCGCAGGGGAAGGGCCTGACTATTCAAATTTAGACCCCAAATTAGAGTTTTAAGCACAGTTTCACCCACCCAGGCAGAAAGAGAGAGTGAGTGTGGTCACTGTCAGGAAAGCTTAGGTGACCAGGATGTAAATAGCATCCACCTCTCAGCTAGCTTCCTTTGGCATTCTAGGCTGGAGCTTGCAAAATAAACTTCATGTTGTATTTGACGTAATCCCTAAACTGGTTTGGTTTAATTGACAAATATTAATTCAGTACATAACATTAAGCCATCTTCAAACAAGGCATCTTTTAAAAAACTGGATGGTGCGTTTCTCAGTTTAGTTTGCCGTATGAAATGCGACCATGGAGCAGCAAGGGCATCCCATCTGATCAAAGTCAAACTTTGCCCCAAATTTTTTTTTATTTATATCCTGCCTTTTTCCTACAAAGGGCTCAAGGCAGCTTACATCTCCTCCTCCATCTTATCCCCACAACAACAACCCTGTGAGGTAGGTTGGGCTGAGAGTCTGTGACTGGCCCAAAGTCACCCAGTTGGCTCCATGGCTGAGCGGGGACTAGAACCCAGATCGTCTGAGTCCCAGTCCCACGCTCTTAACCACTACACCACACTGGCTCCTAAATTTTATCATATCAAAATGACTAGAAATGTTGTGAATCTCTGTTAATGGGGGAGGGGGGCAGCAATGTTAAGACTCTCCCTTATTTATATCTCAAAGATTATAACGCCTTTGGCCTGCCTCTCGGGAAGCTGTTCTTGTTCTAGAGGAAACAGCACCACCTAGTGGCTGTTTCCATTAACAGCAAGTAAGGCAGAAAGAAAGGAAACCAACTAGCATGAAGGGAAGAGATGCTCCCAGGTATGCGTATGTAGTACTGTTGGGACACAAGAAGGCTGGCCATACCAATAAGCGGGATGGGGGGGTGATTGCCTCAGGCAGCAGTAGCTGGAGAGCATCTTGTGGTTCCCCTCCATTGGATGACAGAGGTGCATCAGCCACACAACTTGATCCCCCCCCCCCCCCCCATTAACCTATCACCTCAGATGCAGAGGAGGATGCTGGCTAATCACCAGCACTGAAGTAAGGCTCATCTTTCTCTCCCCCCCCCCCCCACACCCCGCATGGGAGACAGGAAGGGGGCACCTTTGTCTTGGGTTGGCCCAAGGGAAGAAAGAGCACATAGAAGTCCAGTCTGTTCTGTGGTTTTTGACTTGTGAATTTATATTATTAGCTGACTTGTGAATTAGCACAATTAAGGGGCAGGATATAAATATTTTAAGAGCAATACTCTGGAGAAATATACCCCTACCCTAAGACTTGCATAATCACCACGCTAAGAATTGGCGTGGACTTGGTGTGAGGAAGGGGAGAATGACCAGGCCTCATCCCACCGCTACAAACTGAGCTCTGTGCTCTGTGGACACCCCGGAGGGGCAAGGGAGCATCCATATCACCGCTGCGGCTCACATTCTCCAGCTCCAGCTCGCCTGCGGGGGCCCTTTTAAGAAGAAAGGGGACTGCAGGCTCCACCTAGTACATCCCCCGTCTTACCAGTAGGAGATTGCTAAATCTCAACAATTCCCTGTAAGCCTGTCCCTGAAAATTTCTGGGAAAGGAAATTTCACAGTCTTCCTGAGATTGTGGATTACTCTACAGCGGGACAACTTTTACAAGTTTAGGAAAGTGCCCTTGATCAACCTCTTTCTAACCTAATCCGGTTAGATCGTGATGGTACTCTTATAGCTTCAGTGAGAAATGCTTCTCCTCCATAATCAATTCAGTCTTTTGTCTTATGATTTGACATGTCTCAGACTCTGGGAAGTTCTCCTGACTCCCTTGAAGCAACTGGGAGCTTTGTATAAACTGTTTTTTTTTGCTGGAATCTGTCCTCTGAAATAACTGTTCTTTCCAATTTGGAATCATTCATGTCAGGTAGGGTGGGGATGCTGGTGTCTGGCCAAGCTTTGGGGAGGGATGGGTAACCCAGTGCCCTCCAGCCGTTTGGGACAACAAGTGTCTCAATCCCTGAGCATTGGCCATGCCGGCCAAGGCTGGTGGGTATCATCATCCAAAACATCTGGAAGACCCAAGTTGCCTACTTCTGATGGCTATGAGAATCCAAATCTGCTTTCAAATGTCAAAGATGGAGCTTTAAGGAAATACAGGCAAGCAAAAGTAAGGAATATGCATGGATTGCTACGTGGTTTAGAAGAACAAGAGTTTATTGAGCGACATTCTCACAGAAGCAGGAGAAGTGCATATTATGGTTCCACTGATGGTACTTAGCACGCAGAGAGTTTTCACTCAATTAAAGTTAAGAGTTTCTCTATCCAGCTTGTCAGGAAAAGGTACAGCATAATTCATGGGCATTTCTTTCTGTTCACACAAAAATGCCATTCCTTCCCTTCAAAAGAACAATGTTAGAGCAAACTGCCCATGCAAGAGCTCCCTTGCATTGCACAGTTATCATCAAAGCTGACAAATAACTAGAATTTTACTATGTCCATCAAGACACATCATGCAGTAAAATGTTTGATCTCTGACAACAACCAGAGTTATCTTCCTGTATGTGCTGGTTCTGCTAAATCAAGGGCCCACTTTGCTTGAGTTTATAGCAGGGGTGGGCAATTTCCTCCCCTCTCACTAAGGCTGGCCTACCCATGAAGCCGGGCGAGAAGCTCACACGACGTGGCAATGAGCAGCAAGTTGTGCTGGACCTCAGCCCAGCTGGGAGACCCCCCCCCCCACCTCCACCAGGTGCTCCCCAGCCTCTTTCCTGCTCTGGCAGGTGGCTCTTTCATCCCAGTCTGTTTAGGGCAGTTTGGTAATAAGCTGGCTCAACTAGAGTACTTGACTCTTTATGACTGCATTTAGTTCAATTACTCAGATGTGTATATTTCCTGGTGTTACAGAGTGCCTTCTTTTGACCCTCTAAAACAAACCTCTACATTTTATGGAGGAATTGATAATAAAGCGTCCCTGGAATATTACTCAGACTAGCATCTGTGGGTGATTTCAAAGCATAAATGATGTTATGTCTCTTTTTTTTTTTTAAGGAACGGAAAAAAGTAAGGGAGAAAGTAAAGAAACATTGCACCATTATTTTCGGTACTGCCAAGAATGGCTCTTGCTATCTTGTGTGGAGGTAGCCTGCTCTGCCTGCCTCCTGGTCTCTGATTGATTTGCTGATGTTTTCCGGACTGACGTTCCACGCTCTGTTACAAGCAACACCCTTTTCTCTTGTCATACTCCTCCAGGGGCCGTGCCCGCTCTTGCTGCTTGTCCTCATGAGCTGCTAACAGCCTGGAACAAACAACCATGTTAGCAGGTCAGAAGGGAAGGAGAGGACTAACATTTCAAAAAGCCAGGTGAATGCTAGCAGTACTCTCCCATGTCTTAATTTGAGAGGAAATAGCCTACATCAGTACAATGACAGGAGAGTCTACAGGTAGATGGGCTGGGTTACAGCTCCTAACACTGTTCAGCAGTCCCTGGTGGTCACCAGTTTGGGAGAGGTGGGTTAAGTGCCTCATTAGCACAGGACCATCCTGATTTGCAAACATGAATTTGACAGCATCATCATGTTGGAATCAATCCTTATGAAGGCAGCCACATAGCTGGGGAGGGGTGGCAGCTAAGGGATGCCTCGCTTAATTTTTTTCTAAATAAAAGCAATTTACAGTGTTGTCTTTAAAAGGTCTGCAAACCCAATGAGCCTACTTTCCTGGTACTCCTTCCAGTTTTACAGCTGAATATGGGCCTGAATGCAGAGTGCAGATGAATTTGGGAGTAACTTCAGTGTGAGGTGCTGCTGAGAGTGCGCATCATGCTTAGTCCAAGTGCTGTTGGGATATTGGCCTGTAAGTTATGTGAGGATGATGCTACAGGGAATCCGAGCATCTCACAAGTTTTAAAGTTGTCGTACCAGTTCATCAACTCTGGCAATTTTACAGATGTAGGTTTGTCACCCTGCGGGAAGCACTGGGTTGCTCTCGCCTCTTATGCAGTGCGCCCAAAATACGTTGGGTGATGGCCAAAACACAGAGGATGAGTCTCGCCTACCAGACCTTTCCTGTTTCACTGGAATCACTTTATGTATCATTTATTGTAATACGGCTTTCCAACGCAGGTTCTTCGCTTTATTGGACAGCTCAAGCCTCCCCCAATCTGGTTCCTTCCAGAAGTGTCAGACTGCAGCTCCTATCATCCCCAACCAACATGTGGACCATGGAGAGCATCAGGCCAAGGGCTGGTCCAGCCTTTGCCCAGAGGGAATCTATCAATTTTGCCAGACTGAACGAAGAGCCAGGGTTGCGTCTGCTCCATTCCTGGTGGTGGGCGGCATTCATACAGACCTGGCCATGTGCAGCATGGGCTCCAGGATGTTACAGCCTGTCAGGGCACTGCACTCGTAGAAGGCAGCCTGATATTCCTGCAAAAGGGAAAGGCCATTATTGGCCAACAATGGTCAGGCGGCCACCTCGCTGCTCTGCTGCTCCTCCCTGCAACTTTTCCAAGTCGAGCTCAATCATCGCTGGAAAAGCTTCCACGTGTTGCAGGCCAGGCCGTTCCCAATGAGGTACCATCGCTCCACAAGCGAAGACAACCTCCCTCTTCTGCGTTCAACCTCCCTCACCACACATTGCACTTCCGGGTCTTTTCCGCAGGGGCTCTAGGTACATACTTGGGAGAGGCCTACTGGAGAGCCCAGGTGTGCCACGACTGCCTCTGGAGTGTGCACACGCAGCCTGGATTTGCTCTCTCGTCAGGTGTGCTCCTGCTAGCGAAACAGCCCTGACTGGGGCCGGGTGGAGGGCCAGGCCATAGAGAAGCGCTGCGCAGCCGTGTTAGAGGGGTGTGTGGAAAACACAGACACGGGTCAGACGACCAGCCTCTGGTTCTGCTGCACCGTGACCACTTCCGCTGCGTTGACGTGCACTGAATTTTGGACAAACCACAAATGGTTCTGTGTCAGGGGGAGAAGCCCGTACAGCTCACATCTCGTGTGTGTGATTCAGCGCTACTTACCCAGAGTTACCTTCAGTGGGATCATTCAGGTTAGCTTTGCAACTAGCATAAGGAGAGATCCTCCAGTATATTTTCTTGAAACCCGATTCACACACTGTCCTGAGCAGCGTGGTGTCACTTCCGCTTCCCACATGGCCCTGCTCTCTCTTCTGTAAGCAGCATTGGTGGAACGGTGCCAGCCAAGCTGGTGCTTGCTTCTGCCTGGCCCCAACTCTAAACCCTAAACACGTTCACTTGGAAGTCCCCTCAGCCTCACTTCCAGGATGCCGCCTCTAGAACCGCTATGTTTCTAGAATATACATATATATATGTCCTCCCTCCCACCCTGCACAAAAGGCAGGCATGGGGAAGGGCCCCATGGGGGAGGCAAAGGGTTGCGGCAAAGAGAGACCACTCAGACCACTGAGGTCAGCAACACGCGGGCTGAGATTTATCACTTTCTTATTTTTCTTTACAACCCAAGAGCTGAAACTCACTATTAAACCATAAAAGATAAAACCACAATTAAACCATAAAACATGAAATGATAAAATACAATATAAAAGTTTAAAGCTACATATAAAATGAAAACAATAACCAAGCGGAACTGAGCAGAAGTGCAAAGATTTAAAACAGAAATTGAAAAAGATGCTTGGGAAAATAAGATCTTTACTTGGCACCAGAAAGAACATAATCAAGGTACCAGATGAGCCTCTCTGGGAAGTTGATTCCACAGTCAGGGAGCACAACGGAAAAAGCTCTTTCGTTCATAGTCACCTGCCTCACATTCTTGGAAGGGGGCTCCCAGAGGAGGGCTGCTGAGTGGGGGGGGGGGGGAGTCTCTAGGTCCAGTTAGTTTGGCCCAGAGACAATGCTGTAGCACCAACCTTCATCCAATCCACTGACTGCATAGTCTGAAGACTGCATAGTCTGAAGTTCTTTCAACTCCCTCATTTATCTGAGCTTTAGCCTGCCCCTAGAGCCACAAGGTTCCCTGGGCAGGTTGCAGACAAATAGCTCCTTAAGAGCTCCCAACACAAGCTTCTTAGTGGCCACGCAGGGAATTGGAGTGAGGATGAACAGGGGAGGGAGAGACGGAGAGCCATACCTTTGCCAGCCGTTCTCCCTCAAGCCTGGACACCTTTGGTTCCTCTTTGTCTGCTCTATCCATCTTGTTTCCAAGGAGAAATACCAGGACACCAACTCCAATCCAGTCCTACAGAACAAAAGAAGCCCTGTTATTCTTAAGGAAGGAGAGTTCATTCTCAATCGAGCCCCAGCCGGGATGGGCAATGGTCGGTCTCTCTCTGTGCTCCAACAAAAGGACTCTGTTTTCTTTTTAAGCTGTCACTCTGTAAAGTCATTTGGTCAAGCATCAGTATCAGTCTCACAGCCCCTTCAAGTGCCTGAATATTGTTCAGGAGATGCAAGAAATGATAGCCGTCAAGAAAAGAATGGTGGGTTCTGCATTTGCACATCTTTGATGAAATTCCTGTGCCGGGAAGCCAAGAGTTGCAAAATTCCCTGGGCACTCTTATATGCTAGGTGCTTTCCAGCACAGTGTTAGGGCTAGGATGACGCATCAGCTTACAGCTAGTGTTCAGAAACGGTCAGCTCCTGTACAGTTCTCAGTGCTTGGAATGAGTTCATGTTGGGCAGGAAAAGGTAGCTGTCAGGAAAAATCCTGAGATTTCTCTTCCTGAAGATGGTTGCAAAATGCCATTGGGTTAGAATGCAGGATTTGGATCCCAGATATGAGTCTTGTTAGGGTTGGGGAGGTGCCAGTCCCTCTGCCTCTCCTAGTACTTGGAAGTAGCTAAGGTGAAGCAGGAAAAGCCAGCAGGCGAGAACGCCCCAGGGGGCCCTGCGGTTGCACATCCTTTGAATCTTTTGGTGTCTTTTTGCACTGCATTCAGGCTGAGGATGACCATCTGGTCAGGGTTCAGAAACCCTCAGGTTCTATGCATTCCCCAGTGCCCTGAGTTAGTTCAAGTGGGGCAGGAGAAGGGACTGTCAGGGAAAATACTGAGCTTTCTGCATCTGATGACAGTTTCAGAAGAGGATGTGGTGATTTTCCAAAGCTGCATAGCTGCAGCCATTCATAGTTTATTCTAACCTGGGCATAAGATATCCAGTTTCGGACGGCCATAAAGGAGCTCTCTGCCATGATGTCATACATGATCAGGATGCCGTCCGCTCTTCGGAAGTATTGCTTGGTGATACTTTGGAATCTAATGCCAAACAAAATCCAAAAAGCGTTATTCATGTATTAACAGCCCCTCCACTCACAGGGTTTCTCTGTAGGACAGGTTTAGCCCTTGCGTTACCCAGGCTTCTTCCCCCATTTTCATTGCGGGAAGAAAAATGTGTTGCTGGCACGCTTTTTTTCCTGGGCTTTGAATTTCTTGCCTTTCCATTGTGGAATTCTATGACAAGGTTTAAAAGACAGAGGGGACGTGGAAGATGTGGTTGACCTGGATTTCAGCAAGGCCTTTGACAAAGTGCTGCATGATATCCTGGTTGAGAAACTGAGGAGTTTTGGGATACACCAATGCTCTGTCCGATGGATTAGGGCATGGTTGACAGACCGAAAGCAGAGGGTAACTATTATGGGGAATCATTGGGATGCTGGCCAGGGATGAGCAGGGTCCCCCAGGACTTTGTCCCGGGACAGATCCTGTTCAATCCTTTCATCAATGACCTGGAAGAAGGGGTGACCAGTCTGCTGATCAAATTCACAGACGATACTAAAATGGGGGCAGTGGCCACAACTGAGGAGCAGGCACTCCAGATCCAGAAGGACAACAGGATGGCATTCAGTGTGGGTAAGTGCAAGGTCTTACACTTGGGGCATAGGAATGGGCATCGTACGAAAAGGCTAGGAGAGAAGTGGCTGGAGAGCAGCACTTGTGGAAGGGATCTGGTCGACTGCAGGCTAAACATGAGTCAGAGTGTGACGTGACAGTCAAGAGAGCAAAAGCCACCCTTGGATGCATAGCCAGAAGCATGGCTTCTAGACTGAGAGAGGTATTACTGCCACTCTACATGACTCTGGCGCGCCTGCAAATGGAGTATTTTCTTCAGTTTGGGGTTCCACATTACAGGAAGGATATAGTCAGGTTGTAACCAGTGCAGCATAGCGATTGCAGGGAAAGCCATAGGAAGCGAGACTGCGGGAACTGGGTCTTTTCAGCCTGGAGGAGACTCCAAGGGGATCTGTTGGCGACATATAGGTACATGAGGGCGTGTCACACAAGGGTGAGTAGAGACCTGTTCTCCCTTGCGGAGGAGGGCAGTATGCGCTCCAGAGAAGCAAAGCTGAGGGAACCAAGGTTCAGTTTGGATGCCAGGAAGTACTTCCTGACAGTTAGGACCCCAAGGGTGTGGAATGGGCTTCCACGGCAGGTGGTTGAAGCTCCATCAGTGAAGGTGTTCAAGGATAGGCTGGACATGCACATGGTAGGCATGTCATGTGTGGCTGGAGCCAGGGGTCAGACTAGATGGCCCAGGAGACCCTTTCTGACTTGCTCTGTTTCTATGTTTCTACATTCTGTTAATCAACCACAAAGCAGGACTGTGCATAGCTGCAGCAGGGCAGATTTGCAGCTTTTCAGGAGGCCTTTGCCCCATTTGAAGTTTGAGAGCAGATTTCTCTTTCATTTAAATAAAAAAAGAAAGCTGCACAAATGCCCAGAAAATGCAAGAGGTGCTTTGGTGGACAATGATATTGTGTAAAGGGCCTCCAAACCATTCTGTGAGGTTCTGAGGCAGCGCCAGGGCTCCCTCTTCTGGCCACAGACCAGAATATCACCCCATAGTGGTTACAGGACTGGGCCCACAGTCAAACGCAGCCACCTGGGATGTTACGAGCACCACCTGGGAGCTCTGAGGGAAGAGCTACTATATAAGAACCAGCTCTTCCCTTCAGATGTGGCCTCAGTAAGTTGTCAGTGTTTGTGATGGGATATTTAGAAAGCCAAAGCAATACAAAAACAGGAAAATGTGCCTAAAGGAGCCAATCATAATCTGGAACCTGGGGACAGATGCCTTGGTAAGGTGCCAGGTTAAAAGTTTCAGAGAGGGCTTCTCCATCTACACAGAGCATAGACATAGAAACAGAGCAAGTCAGAAGGGGCCTCCCGGGCCATCTAGTCTGACCCCAGGCTGTAGCTGACTCCGCTCGTGACATGACTACCCTGTGCATGTCCAGCCTATCCTTGAACACCCTCACTGTTGGGGCTTCAACCACCTCCTGTGGAAGCCCATTCCACACCCTCAGGGTCCTGACTTCAGGAAGTGCTTCCTGGCATCCACTCTAAATCTTGGTTCCCTGAGCTTTGCTCCATGCATCCTGCCCTCCACTGCAGGGGAAAAATGGTCATGATCCACCTCTGCATGGGACCCCCTCACATACCTGTATGTCGCTAACAAGTCCCCTCCTCTCAAGGCTGGAAAGACCCAGCTCCCTCAGTCTCTCCTCATATGGCTTTCCCTGCAATCCAGCCACCACCCTAGTGGCCCTTCTCTGCACAAGCCAACCCACCCCCATAAGAAAGAGTCAAAATTTGCTATTCATATTTGTATGTAACAGAGTTTTGATCTATATCTTGAAATGCCACTTTAAAAGGGTTACAGAGTCCAGAAAATGTTTGAGTGGACAACTATTGTGCCCTTGTGCTGGTCCACCAGCTCCAAATTCGAAAGAACAACAGGCATTCCGGGCACCAATTCACGCCTGTTCCTCATCTTCAACATCATCATGCACTTTGAACCAAATGCTACGCACAACTTTACCTTTCCTGCCCAGCCGTATCCCAGAGCTGTAACACCACCTGTTTGTGGCCAACCACCAAACGCTTCACGTGGTAATCGATGCCTGCAGGGGCAAGACGACTTGTTTCATTCATTCATTCTCTATCCCATCCATTTTTCCTGTTATGAAGAACCCAAAGCAGCTTACATGGTCCAGCTCCTCTCCGTTTCATCCTCATCACAACAACCCTGTGAGGTGGGTTAGGCTGAGAGACCGTGACCAGCCCAAAAAACCACCCAGGGAGCTTCATGGCCAAGTGCAGACTCGAAGCTGCATCTCCCAAGTCCCAGTCCAGTAGTGTGCTCAGTCCAGTGAGTAAGGTCAGAAATACAGAGAGCCGATCTGATTTGGGCAGGGAGGTCTGATGTCTTTGCAGGCCCAGCCAGTGGGCAGGTCATTGCTCAAGCCTCATTCTCGTAAGTACAACATGGGATTACGGGATCTGCCTTCCCACTACGTTGCTGTGAAGCAGGATGCAGTAAGTAGGATTGTTACTCACAATCAAAAGTGACTGGTGGTCGATGAAAACATTAATGGCACTAAAGCAGGGCGGGTAAAAGGGAGGGACGGGTTTGCAATGGGGTTTGTCAACAATCCTAAGGCTAAACCTCAGGTTTATGGACCAGCTCTGGCCTGCACAGGGTTCCAATCTGACGCTCCAAATTCCACACGTGGCCACATCCGCTTCCCCAGCTGTGCCCCTTTTCTTCCAAATGCAGATTATCTGGCACCTTCCCAGGTTTTGTGCATTTTCCCACCTTCCAAAAGGTCAAAGGGGCTTTCCCAAGGCTGACTTATTGCCTGGAAGAGTATTATGTGACCGGATGCTAATACTTTTGGTAATTTGGCCCATGAGCTTTTTTTTTTAGCCTCTCAGTAGCTCTGACTCCTCACCTTCCTCTAGCCCTAGAGGAGACCCCTTTAGCCTGATTGTGAGCTCCAGTGATCCCACTCAGCTAGCAGTGAGCAAGAACCTCTCTTAGCACGCCTGTTCCAGGGACAACTCAAGAGCAACTGGCATCATGATGCCAAGATGAGCTTAGTGTATGTGATTCCAGAAGTAGAGGATGGCAATCAGAGCAAAAGTCAACTCTGGAAGGCTTTTACAGTGAACATGTGCCTTCAACATTTATACCTAGGTTTTGAAGTACAGAGGAACAGCCAGTAACCTGAAGATAACATGCACAGAACAGGAAGATTGGAAAGAGCATGTGTGAGAGAAGCAGCTTACTCCACCTAGCGCTGCTTAGTCCAGCCTCCTCAATGAGGGCCCGGTTGCGCTCCTGCCGCTGCCCTTGCCATGCCTTCTCGTATCTGATCTTTGCCTGTTCCTGATCTTGCCCTTGCCACTGGCCTTACAAGGCCTCGTGGGGGTCTCCATCCACCTCCGTCACCCTGGCCCTGGTGCTCCAACCAAGAATGCCTCCCACTGACCTCCTGGAGTTGACACCTTTGCTAGAATGTGACTCCCAAGTGCTTTTCTGAAACTGAATTCAGCCCTCAGGTTGTAAGGTGTCCAACATGCTTGATTTATATCGGATGAAATAAAGCCCAATTTGGTTTGGAGAGTGCTTTATTTTGGTCTGTTGATAAAGCTCTTAGGACATCTGGTATCTCACTGCAATCCAAACTGAAAAGCACCATCCTTCCAATGGCCATCCATTTAGTAGGGATTTGGTATCCCTACTAAAGTAAAGGAGGATACTTTTAGATGCCCTCCTTTAAAACACCAAGGCGGAACACGGCTACCATGCTCTATTCTCCATGTCTCTTAAATCATAAAACTGTCATTGTTGTTAAGCTAAGTATAGAATGGAATATTTAAGGGGAAACTCAGGAATGTCAACATTAGCACTGAAGGAGAGATGTGTGGGTCGCAGATATTCCCGTTCTGAGCAGCTCAGGCAAACCACACAAGGCTTTACTTCTCTTATGACTGCTCCTTTTGACACCTTGGAAATCTTTTAGTTACCAATGGTTGGGCTGATACCAGGCAGGAATCTATCGTAGCAGAAGTGATGGATGAAGGAGCTCTTGCCAACTCCAGAGTTTCCAAGAAACACGACTTTGAAGATGTGGATGGGTGACAAGCCAATTGGTCCAGGTATCTAAAATCAGTAGCAAGGAGATAAAGAAGAGTTTCTAAAACTAAGATACAAGCTGTGCTTAAACCTGGAACAAGCAATAGAAACAGTGTGAAACAGGTAAGCGCACGTTGAAGCTTGTCAGACTGGTGAGTTAAGAGTGAGGCCATGCTTGAATGTTATTCCTCCTTTTGATGAAAGATCTGAACTAATCTTCAAGCTCACAGGGGTATGCAGTTTAATCTTGCAGGATCAGGAAGAATCTTCAAATATCAATGGGCTCTCCTGATTTAATAATCACTTCTTCTTGATGAGGTGATGGCCTTCTCTCCTTGGGTTTGACTGAAATGCTTCCCTTTTTCTCAAGATACCCCTTCAGCCTTGGGAAAAGCATCTGCTGCTTTCCGTGTGTGAGTGCCAAAGCCCCAGACTTGAGGGATAGCCGAGGCTCAGAGAAGACGCAGGATGAGCTGGGCATGTCTGCAGCTGCCATAGCACAGGTGAAAAATGCAGCAGGGTGTGCAAACCTGAACTTAAAGCTGACTGCCATGAGCCCGAGGATCCTGAGCAATGGCCCCGGGGAAGCTCCCAGGGACAAGCTAATGGAGCACACCTTGAGAGAAGGCCCTGGGAGGCACGGAGGTGCCCATCCCCAGGCATTTTAAGAAGCCACCAGCAGAGGGGTGGATCCCATGCAGTGTTACTTGACCGTTACGGGTTTTTCGGCACCAGGTAAAGACCTTTTTATTTAAACATCATTTCAATTGTTAAAACATATGATCTGGCCAGGGCAACTTCTTCTTCCTTCTCTTTCTCCTTCTATATTTTTATTTTATACTGATAATTTTAATTTTATATTTGTAAATCAATGTATTTTTGTATTTTTGTATTTAATGGTAATTTATTATGTACTATTGTATTTCAATGTATTTTATCATGTTGTAAGCCGCCCCGAGGTTTCAGCAAGGGGCGGCATAGAAATGTTATAATAATAATAATAATAATAATAAAAAATAATAAAAAAAAGCAACTCAGTAAGTAATAGAGAAATCAACCTGCTTTGCTGGGTATCCCACCACGTCCCATGAGCTGCTGCTTGAGATCAGGCCAGGACACAAAGCAGGGGTGGGCAGCTTGTGGCCTTCCAGGCATTCTGGCATGCAGCGCCCAATTGGCCCTCAGCAGTGACCACTGGCAGGCTGGGATTCATGGGATTTGCAGACCCGTGACACAGCAGAGTCGCATGTTGCCCACTCCTGCACCACAGCCTCAAATTAAGTAAGGTTCCATTCTAAAAGTTAATGAAGAAAGCAGAGCTTGGAAATGCTCTAAGATAGTGAGACTCACCTCAGTTTTATGGCCAAAGGGCTGCCCCCTGGAGGACAAAAGGCAAGCAGCAGGTTCATGTGTAACTTTCTCCCGGTTTGTGCTACTCCTCAGAGCCCTGGGCTTCCCACAGCTTCTTGCTGTTTTTTGCCTCTCTTTAATTTTCCAAGAGGCTGTGCATTCTTCCATGGATGAATTACCTCCTTTTCCCTGCTTCAGATTAATTGTGTTGCTAGGGAAGAATTTGCCACATTTCTTGATCAACTTTTCTAAAGAAATCTCTTCTGGCAGGACATGGTGGACCTTTCTAGGAACCAGGTGCCTGTGCCCAAGGCCCCAAACAGTGGGAAGAAATGTCCAAAAGAGTCAAGGAAATCAACATGAACATTGCGGGTGACCTTATTCAACTTTCTTGTAGCACGAATGAGACCAAAGACCCAACAGCTTTAAATGTGTGGGAAGTGAGGACATATAGTGGACCCCAGAATCCTCAAGGCAGCTTTCTCCCCTCCAGTTGTGCAATACTACAACCCCCATCACCCTCAGCCATTTATGTAGTCTCTCATATTTGGAGGCAGCCACAATGGAAAAAGCCCTTTAAGGCATAGCTGAACCCCTAGCATATACCGAGTTGTAAATTCTTATCCCTTCCCATGGTTGCATTCATGCCCTCATAGGAGCACCAAGAACCATAGCGCTGTGAGAAGGGCTCAAAAAAGCCACCACCCTGACATCAAGCACCTGCATCTACAGAGACCTGGATGGACAAACACAAGATCTGGGCAGGTGTGCACTGGGCCAGCAAAACCTCTGACCATTTGGCTCAACCATCTTGATTACTCGAGTTGCCTGTCTCACTGCACTCGAATCGCATACCGTGCATAATGGCACAGTTGCAAAGGAGGCTGCCTGCAATGTATTGAAGGTGAACGGACTTTGTATGTATGTGAATGGACTTTGAGCAATACTTCATTTATATATGCACTCTGGTGCTAAGCCTGCTCCCTTCTCTCCCTGCAAAAGTGTGCTATTGTGGCAAACGGGAGATGGGTGGAAGCTCAACTTGCCCGCTCCGACTACCCCACCACCATGCACCTCCATTTGACCACGAGTGCAACAACAGTCCCCGGTTCACCAAAGAGAAATCCACTGAGAACGCCTCTTGCCCAACATTAGCTCGGCTGAGGAGGCGAAATGGAGAGAACAGCAAACCCAGCAGACCCTGGTGACCAAGTGATTATGACAGACCAAGCACATGCACGAGACACAACACAACGTACTCCATTCTAACCATTGGACTGGCTTCTCCTCCACTAGGTATTTGCCTATCCCCGAACCCTTCTTCAGCAGGGGCTTTTCTTTCCCAGCAGGGGCCTGAAAAATTAGAGAGAGCTGGTCAGACACTTGCCAAGAAAAGCAGTCCCTTTCTTCGCAACATCTAAGCACTTACTTTGAAAGGACCTCTCAACAGGTGGTCCAGATCAAGCCAGTAGCTTCCTTTACTGCCACTCTGAAGCAAAAGAGATGTTTTGGCTACAATCCTATACACACTTTCCTGGGAGTAATTCCACTGAACCCCATAGAACTTCCTTCCCAGTAGATGTGCACAGGATCGCTCAGTGAAGGTTTTTCAGTTTGGGGAGTGATGTAGGGAAGGCACTTGCAGTATCCGAGGGCAGCACATCCCGCACACGCCTGATAACTGGCTCTCATTTACCTTGCACTGTGATGCTCCTGCCAGCTCTGATCTAGAACCAAAAGGTATCCTGCCCCTCCTGTCCCACTGCAGGAGCCTTCTTACGCACAGTGGATGCTTTGAATTTCAACAACAAATGTATTTGCCATTTTTCATTTTAGTGTATTTTTGGAGATTACATTCTGTTTATTCAAATGCTCCAGCTCAGGGAAGGAGGCTGTACAGACTCGGAGAGTAGCCATTCCTGCGCACCCCATAAATCCCTGAGGTCTGATGAAATGCCAGCAGGTTAGGAAGGTGGCCTTGCTGCTCTCCACAATGCAGTCTTCCTCAGCCTGTGCCAGCCAGATGGGTTGGGCTGCATCTGCTCTAATTTGGTCCAACAGTTCTGGAAGGCACCAGCTTGGGGAAAGCTAGTATAAACTCCTTAAGACCAATCAAAGAGGATAGTGGAGATTCCTCTCAGTAAGTGGGCTTGGAAGCTAAGTCCCCTCCTGGAGGAACCCTGGAAGATAGTGGCTGGATGGGCAACCTCCATGACCGACTTCCAGGTCAAGCCCACTACAGGGCACAGGTTGCCTACCCCAGATATGGAGGGAGGGAGCTAAATCTGCACCCCAGAACTGCAACTGCACACCTGAGGAGGATGTAGGAATTCTCTTTCTTTTTTTACGAGATAAAACAGAGACTCAGAAAATGGCAACGGTGTGTCTTCGTAAGTGGCATCACACACAGTTGTCACAATTGGTAGGTTCTCACAACATTCAGACAAACCACATGGCACTAAATTGGGGTGCCCACCAGATGTTCTGCACCTCAAATCCCATCAACCATGGCCAATAGCCAGGAATCCTGAGAGGTGTAGTCCAAAATAAGTGGAGGGCACCAGGTTGAGAAAGGCTGCACAACGTTGTCCCAATCACAATGGGTGCATCCTCAGGCAAACTTCCAGATTTAAGGCACAAACCAGAAAAGGGAATAAAGCACTCCTATCAAAGCTATGTAGATCACACACAACAGATGAGGTTTAGATGCACAATGATATGCTAAAAGCTGTCTAGGGTGACAGAAAACCTTTGGTCATTACAGAAGATGTAAGGAATAAAAACAGTCTTCAGACAGATATCAGTTGTTATTTTCTTAGCCTTAGGAAACGAAATACACATCTGCTTCTCAAGAAGGTCCAGAGGCCTGTTTTAAACCCCTGGCTGGTTCTCCAAATGATCTGATGATGCACAGTCGTACCAAAGAAACACTCTTCACACCATGGAACTGGCACACAAAGGCAGACAATACCTTCTTGGCTGTTTCTCTGGTTTTCACCAGCTTTTATTGGCTCATTGTAACTTTGACATTTAAACAGATGATAACAAAAAACAAACATTGAGCTGGAAGGGCAGAACACACAAACATGACATATCTGATGAGGATGATTGACAGAGTGCATGACATTTTATGATGGAAATCTAGATCACAAGGTGACATTCCAGTGACCTCAGGATTTCTGCCGTGTTCTGGGGTCACGATGCTTAACGTAAACACATCAGCACTGCATGTAGTGGCACCTGAGAGTGAACCGGGGCTTCCAAATCCATGTTAGCTAGGAAACACACAGCGTTGCTCAATAGTTCCCCTCCCCAGTAATCACAGATATAATAGTTTCTCTGACATTTACTCAATTCTCTGTAAACAAGTGCTTTCTTGAAAATTCTCATTTATAAGTATGTGGGGAAAAACGGTTTGTGTATTTTTAAATCATAGCATTCTTGCTTACCCTGGGGAAAATCATTTTATTTGCAACCTGTGAGCAAGTGGATTTACCACCAGAGGGACAGAGCAGATGGTGCGGAGCAGATTGTATTGCTTACACTGTTTGCAAAGCAAGCCCCTCCACAGTATATGGGGCAATATGGACTTGGTTAATAACTCCGTGGAAACTTAGCTTCCATCTACAACAGGGCCAGCCATTTGCAGCCATCCAAATGCTAACAGACAGCAACCT